TTTGCATATTTGTTAGGTTATGAGTTTAATAAAGATAGAGTAGGATATAGAATTCTAATTGAATACATATATAGTACTGGACTAAGTGAAAGGATTTAATGTTGAGTAAAGATGCTTTGGTCTATTCCAGATTTTATAGTTCAGTCTGGAGGAGCTGAACACACAGCGCCAGGTGGGCTATGGGAGATGGAATGAGATGGAGCATCAAACAATTAGATAAGGATGGATATATGAGAAAGAAGCAAAGAAAATAATAATAATAATAATAAGGAATCATAAGAAATCATGACTGCATAACAGCAAAGGTAGGTGGCGATATGCACCAAGACGAAAGAAGAAGAAGGTTTCTATGAACTATACAGGACTTTTATTTTGGTTTGGCGATGTGACGTCATAGGTCTGCGCCGCGCTCCTGCGTCTGGGATTCGGCTTAAGAAAGGTTTGTGATATTAAGAATTTAAAGTTTTTTAATCGATACAAACTATTCATGCAATTTTTTAGTTTGGTAAAATGATTTTTTTTTTAGTGAATCTAACATGGCAAAGCTTTATCTAATATGTGTAAACGCTATTTGGATGAGTAAAGCTCACAACAGAAAAGCTGCGTTTACACTGCAAGTCCTGATGCACAGATCTGATCTTTTGACCATATGATTATTTTTTTTTTGTTCCGCCTGTTTTTCCACATTAGATTGTTATCCGATATCTGTGTTTACATTAATCCCTGCCCAAAATGATTCTGTTGGTGATCGCTTTACTATTGTTGACCCTCGGATGGTGAATGGCCATACTCGCATTATTTAATAATTCACTTCGGGTGACATGATTATTTGCCAGCATATGGATAAATTGAAAGCTGTCATTGCGGCACAAAATCTGACTGAACGGATATAGATAGATAACGGCATTTCCTTTTGTTATTTTATTAGCGCGGTGTATTTCATTTATTTGAAACAATGAATGAGAGAGAGATTATGAGTGTGAATTACCTGCCTGCCCCTGTAATAGTTAAGCTTGTTAGTTTATTTACTAAAACAGCGAAGTTGCCTTATTGCTGAGAAATAGCCTACTACAGCAATGTGACCAGATTACTTTTTAAAACTTCAAATGTTTTTTTACGTTTGAGCTTAAAAATGACTCTTACTATCCTTAATTGGGCTTGTTATTTTGCATTTTAGGATTGTTTTAAATAGAAATTATGTGTATTCTGTTGCTAGTAATCACAGGGCTAGAATTTAACTTTTTTGCTTGGTAGGACTGGTTCTCCCAACTTTTAGGATTTCCCAAATCCCCCAAAAATTAGGACCGCCACAACTAAAATGTTTACTGTATTAGGGCTCGACATTAACCCTTGGCATGTGTAAGTAAATCTGTCATTTATCGATTTATCATTCGCTTGTCTGGAAAAAGTAGAATATATGTGTTATAGATATAATTTATTCTGAAACAATATTCTCTTAAGTGTTCTATCAGCTTGGACACATTTAAATCCGGATGTTTTGTGATAAATCACCCCAGGTTTTTGTTTGTTGTTTTTACCTTTTATAAAGGGCAGTCTTTCATTTTAAATTTTTTAATTTGATCAATAAATTCAGTTAGAATAATAAGACACCTATATTGCTGTTACCAATCAAATTAAAACATTTACACTGAAAAATTACAACTGTCTAAAAATGTTGGAAAGTATGATACTTTTAGGCTACGTTCAGACTGTCAGTCCAAATCCGATTTTTGTGCATATCCGATTGATCGGATTTCGTGTGGTTTATGTGACTTTCTCACAGCATGTAAAACGAAAACTTCAGACGTTGTTATAGGAAACATGCTGAAAGCTGCTGCCGAAACAATTCTGTGTTGTTACAAAGTGCCGGACGAGCAGGAATTGACAATATAACGGAGACATGTTTTAAAACTGGTGGAGACAACAGCGCAGAAAAAAGCTGTGCAAACCAGCCTCCGGTTCTCCCGCTATCTCAGAAGACGCATAGTCCAGCGCGGCACATCATTTAAATAAGACATCTCTTTTGCAAACCCCTCCATGTTGTTGTTGTTGTTGTTGTTGTTGTTGTTGTTGTTTTTTTACGCATGCCTACCAACGGAACATCATTGCCATAGAAACCAATGCAGATATTCCGGAAAACAAAAGAGTTTGCATGGACACACAAATCGGATCTGAACAGTTGCGATACACAGTGTGGACATCAATCAATTTTAGATTAGATTCCAATCGGATACACAAATAATCGGATTTGGACTAACAGTGTGAACGTAGCCGTGAACGTAGCCATAAACATGAAACTAAACCGCGGGGCGGCAAGTAACCGTCTTAACGAGTGAGTCTTTAAGTCATTTGTTCAAATGACGGATTCATTCAAGAATGATGCAGTTGAATGGGTCATTGAATCTTTGACTCAACCGGCTGGCCCAGTTTGTTTTTGTTGCCGTTTGTGGAGCCTGGGGTGTCTACAGAGACTGTGTTTTTTTACAGTGTGTTCTGGGGACAGGCAGCTAGCGGATAGTGAGGAGATTAGGGGTGCTCCGATCAGGATTTTTGGGGCGATCGCCGATTACTGGAAGCTGTATCACCCGATACCGATCACCGATTACAGGGTCTATTTGAAGACTTATTTTTATCATGTAGCATTACTTATTAAACTATATTTAATAACAATGTACATTAAGTATTACATTTAAGAGAAGACAATGCATAATGAATTGACACCTGTATTTATTTGCAAGCAACATGTATTAACATAGCAGCTTGTTTATTGGGAGCAGCTTAGGGCTTGACATACAACTTTCCTGTAGAATATAAAATAAAATAAATAAAAGACAGAACATCTGAGTCTTTAAATTTAGCTTTAGACTACTTTAAACTAAAAACAGCAACAAAAAAGGCTATAGCCAAAATAATGTTTTGAGTCAGTCAGCCATCAGTTTTTCTAATACACTTAAGGACCACAGGTAGTAAAGTGCACAGCAACAAAAAAAACTAACAACTTCCATATCTGTATCTATAACTTTGCTTTTTTCTGGGATGCTTAGTCAGATTTTGTAGGCATTTAGAGAGGAAGAGAGAGGTAGAGAAACCTTGTGTGTGTGTGTGTGTGAAGAACCCTTGTGAAATTATTTTAAACAGATTAAGAAAGCCACCACTACTGGTCACATCTATGGTTAGATTGATTTTTTTTTTAGATCCAGTGAAGTCTGTCCCACCATGTACCTAATATAAATAAATAAAACATCTTCAGTTAACTAGCAGATCATTAATTTAGTCCGCTATTAAATAAGAAATCTAGCGCTAAAATGTGTTTTTGAACTCAAGGTGCGCGCTCGTTGCCGCGGCGATCAGTTGCATGGATACAGTGCTCTGTGCCTCGCGCAGTCTTCACTCGGACATGCGCTTCAATCTATCGCCGTTGCGGACTCTATTCATTCTGGTGTAATCACAAAATAAAACACAAAAGTATCCTTGCTTGATATGATGTAACCGCTGATGAACATAATCAGTTTTGATGAGAGAAAAAAATGTACGAGTGATTTGACGGACGCACAGGGGTTGGATACATTTTTGTCATTGGTTGTTGCGTTAAATCTTACCCAGATACAATAGTGCTATTTTCTGATTGGCTATTGTGTAGCTCGGCGAACAACACCAGAGGAAACGCGCTTGATTCATGCCGGTTCCACAGTGAGAGCGGCGCGGCCAGAGTTTTGGCCGCTGCGGCATATTAAATATATTACAAATAGTTTTTCAGCGTGAGAAATACAATGTGTGGCGGGAGAGCGTGACAAAAGACCGAAATGAGTGACTGTCACGCTCAATGCTTGACACTTGAGAGCCCTGTTGTAGAATTGCCAGACCGGTGAAGCCATTTTTACCAGGGCATAAAAAAATTGTCTCGCGAGTTTTGCGTCATCTGATCGGCTATTATGGATCGGCCTTTATAGAGACCGCCGATCACACATCCCAAAGCAATTATCGGCCGATTATGATCGGCGACCGATCAATCGGAGCACCCTTAGAGGAGATGTTTGCTGTATGTGACAAAAAATGTTTTGGCCTAAAAAAACGTGTGACATCGCTTAGAGCACCTTTAATATAAATATAATAGTGAAGGAATACAAATTTGTCAAATTTTTAATTTAGGTTTAGTAGATGGATTTTAGATGATTATTGAGTCTCCTTTCCTGATAGTCCTGTTTTCTCTCCTTTCAGCCTAGATGTTGAATCGTTAGGTTGATTGGATTAGCTGTCGGGGAGACTTTCACCTTTTGTCTTTAATGGCTCTGGGATGGCTCTTAGGAACCAGAGTTCCTGGCCACTATCAGCAGTTGAATAGTTATGCTGATTCAATTGGATTGGTAATGCCCTCAGAGTAGGGTGTGTTCCTACTTCATTTGCATGCTTTGTTTCAGAGGGACTCCACCCCAATGTAAACTCCTCCCCCTCTAAATGTATAAATTGCAAGGGAACATTTCCCTTAGTTGGACGAGATTGAGATGCTACAGCGACCTAATAAAGAACATCTGCTTTAAAAGATACCTCTCCGTCTCCTGGTCTGCTCTTCTAAGTTCCTACACTTTAGAAGAAATAAGTTCACAACAATAGGTTAATAAAATATAGGCTATAAAATAGCAAAAAGGCTATAAAAACTCCACATTTTGTATTTACTGCAGTATGTTAACTGAGTTCCTTTGTGTGCGCTCATTTGATTCGAATTGTCCTTGAGGCCGCACAAGCCTTAACAGAGCAACCTTGTTACCGTCAGTACGTTATATATTATAATCCACCATCAATCGCCTCGTACACTAAATGAAATAAAATCTGTGTCATTTTCGCATTTTTGTGATTCCCTATTTATTTTTTGTTATTGACACTTTAATCAGGCTACTTGTCCGTTCGGGCAAGTTAAATTCTCTTTCACTTGCCCCTTCAAAAAATTGTCTTTTCTTTCTGTTAATTATTCTCATCTTGTACATGACAGAGTGTTCGGACATACAGAAAAACTCCTGGTGAAGCAGCTGAGATCCACGTGACACTAATCTAAAGATGGCGTTTATTAAAGAGGAGAGTGAAGACGTGAAGATTGAAGAAACATTCAGAATGAAACAAGAAGATACTGAGGAACAAACAGGTTGGTTTCATTCTTAAACCTGAACTCTAATTTCATCCTTATTAAAATGTCCAGCTCTACAGAATTAATAATATTTTTGAAGAATGTGAGTGTCCTGTTTGTGGGTTGTATATGAAATGGGGCATGTGGACAGTCATGACCAGCCAAATACTAATGTTGCCTTCAACAGGGTCTCTGGAGTTCCTTAAAGTGCCCCTATTATGCTATTTTAAAGGTAACTAATTGTTTTGGAGGTCTACTACAACAGGTTTACATGCATCAAAGGTCAAAAACACTTACATTTTCTCATAATATACATTGCACATCACCACATTGTTCAATGATTCTCAAATGACTCGACGGATGAATCAGCCTCTCTAAAAACCTCCTTTCCGTGAGCCTGCTCTGCTCTGATTGGCCAGATTGCCCAGTCTGTTGTAATTGGTCTACCGCTTATAGCGCCTGTCGGAAGCTACACACCCATTACCATAACTGAACTTCAGCTCCGGAGACTTCCTCAGTCCTCAGCGATTTGTACACACTGTGAAGACAGTAATGATGGCGTTGATTTTACCATATCAATCTGAGCACGAGTCCAATGATGAAACATTGGAAGAACTAGTTATTCAACCCGAACCCCTATCGCAAAGACGACTTGAGCAGGATGTTTCTCAGTGATACGCTACTCAGTTTGAGGTACATTATGAGATCTTGGAGCTGTAATTCCTCACTATCAGCATTAGCAAGAGTATGTTCATGTTTTAAAAAAATTTGCGGTGCATATGCAGGAACTAACAATAACAGCACATACATAAGCCGAGCACCAACGTGAATGACTGATGTAACATTGTAAAACAAATCTTGCTCCATTCTTTATCTTTACTCGAAGTAGTAAGAACGACAGACAATCTGCATTAATAGACACAGTTTTAGGAAATAGTGGCCCACAGCTGATCAGCAGAAGTATTTCAGTAAGACAGTATTAACGGTTGGCAGAGTTAGCCGGAGACCTACACAATATAAAACACAAAACTACATATTTTGAACACCCGGTAGAAAATATATACTTCAACAATTAATCATACTTGCAGGTTGTGATTTTGAGGAGCAAGCTGGTCCAAATAAACTGTGTTCTGACCCAAGCTTTATTGTGAATCCCACGTTGAACTGAGATTTGAGAAGCAGTCGTCAGTAAAATGATGTTTGACTGGTCAAGTTGTTCGTGGGCGTACAACATAGGCGGGCGTTATGCAAATGTCTTTTTCTAGTGACGTAGAACCGAATGATTCGAAACACAAACAACTCGTACTGGAGGTTCAGAGTCCATTTTTTCTTTTAGGAGACAATAACTTTATTTATCGTGCACTTTCGACTTTACAACTCCCAAAATGATTGCAAGCTGTAAAGCAGGTTGTCTAAGTCTTAGACAACCTGCTTTACAGCTTGCAATCATTTTGGGAGTGATCTGAACGTTCTTAACTCCTCCAACACTTGAGACATAATCATAAACAAGTCTCTATGATGCATAGCTGATATCCTTTTTGTTTAGATATGAGGATTCTTTCATCAAGCAAAGAGAAAAGAGAGCTTAGAAAACCAAATGCAGAGACCAAGAGGAGGAACGAAGAGGGGAAAAAAAGAGGCGGCTTGAATCTGACATTGCCTACTTGGAACAAGAAAGAGAAAAGGCAGCCATTGAGGCTGAGACCTCTCCCAAACCAAGAGTATGCATAATTAGATTTAATAGTTTTAGAAAGTCCCTGAAAGACAAAAAATATTAACTTACACAGATTTGTTAAATCTGCCTCAACTTGCAGCACTTTAACAGGGCCTCTAAACAAAACAAAGAAATACTAGTACGACTGTTAGACAAAACACTGTTGGATACATATAAAATTACTACTGTTTAATTTGGAGAAAGTTAAATGTTTTTCTTTCCTTTTGTTATAGCATCTTTGAATAAGTAGTTTGCCGTCTTTTATGCACTGAAAGTTCATTGACTGTACTTATTTTTTTCCATTTTGTTTTATTAGTTTTTAATTGATATATTTTACTTTTTTAGAATTGAAAGTAAATATAGAATTTGTTTGATTAATGAGATCTGATTGTAGTCCTTGAAAACCAAAAAGAAAAAAAAAAGTGCTTAAAGTCCTGAAATTTCATTATACAGTATCTGTATGAACCCTGCTAGTGACAATTCTCCTTTTTGGGTGAACAAACCCTTTAAAACCCTCATACTCTCTAGGAACATACTCTTGAAGGATCTTTTAAAACGGATGGACTGAGACTAGCTTGTATATGATTCTGCAAGTTATCTGTTTGTTAATTATAGCTAAATAATACTGTCGTAATGCCAAATACATATTTTAATGAAAATAATGCAAATGCTGTTTAATGGCTGGTAAGAGATATTTTGTCACATACATTTTCTGGCAGGTATTTTTGTACCCTGACTGCCCTCCTGCTGCTTTTTCTACTTTTTTTTTTTAAAGCATAATTTAAAGGGTAACTAAACCAACTTTTTTTAGTTAATGATTTGTAAGAATGGGGCTTTATTAGTGCTGATAATTGATTCGAGTAACTTTTTTGACATTTGGGTATAAAGTGTTTTAATTCTACAATATATGGTGTAAAAACGTCTGAGTGCTGCCCTCTTCAGGTTGAACGGTGGCTACTGCAGTTGAATTTTCCTATTGGATGTTTGCGGTGCTTCGTGACGTATGCGGGGAGAGCTGACGTAAGCAGGTTCCAGCTCACCACGCCCTTGGTAGGAGCTCACCACGCCCTTGGCAGTATAAAAACCATCTTGTTTCGTCAAAACCACTGCGAGTCAAGAGTTGTAATTACGAGTATTGAAAACAATCAGGATAGAGTATTTTAGCATCTATTTAGCATAGCATTTATATAGTTATTTAGATTATTTTGTGTAGCCTAGTTAGTTGAAGCTATCCTAACTGTACTATGCTACTAAGTTAGCGTAGATTTATCTGTATTTAGTACAGTGGTCAGGATGGTAACGGAATAGAGGTGGACATAGGCTTCTCCACACACAGCTCGCGCTGAAAAGCGACGCAGTGCCAAACACTGCTCCTCCTGCATGGACTCCACCACCGCAGTGGCGTCTTGATGTGAGTGATCATGTATATTTTAATCACAATTTATGGTTAGGCTAAAGTTAATCCTCTGGGGTCGACAAACGCGCCGGCGCATTTTGCTGGACTTTTTCACATAGCGGCAAAATATCAATATGAATATATGCCTACAGAGCGCGCGCTATTGACATCAACTCATCAGATGCCGATCGCGATGCGGGAGTTAAGACCGCAGTTTGAGCCAGCGGCTCGAATTGATATGGCCGTGTGTCCACAGACAATTCACCCTCCTCCACTTCAGGTGAAGGTGGGGGAGAAAAGTCCTCGACTTCAAATGACCGCTCTGTTGCAAAGCTACTTGCGTCACTCCAGTCACTCTCCATTTTAGAGTCTGACAGCAGCTGTCACTGCGGGTCTCAGGTGCACGCCCCCCGCTCAGCCCCGCCTTCTGTTCGTCCCCTCTATCTCTGCTGGGCTCTGCCCATTTATTCAGCATTTTTCAAATATTGCCAGTGGGTGGAGTCAGGCTCTGACCAGGGGTTTAGTTACCCTTTAAGTATTAGCCACTAAGTAAGTTTACCAATCACAGGTCGTGTTTACACTTCACCGCTGGCTGAAATTCGCCTTTGGCTAAGCCACACCCTAAAATGTAGATTGACCAATCACAGCGCAGCCAAGAACGAACTCCCACAGAGGTCCGACACTTTTTCACAGCGCTCCGACACTTTTTCACAGCGCTCCATTGACTTTCAACACGGGTGTCTCATATTTTTGGTCTCGGCAGGCTATTACCGTCGTAGTTTTATCAAAAATATGGTTAAACGTTGTGCCTGGGGCATTTTTAACACAGATGCGCTTTTCCCAGAGAGGTTGGAGGGGGGTGTCCGTTTTCTTTTCCCTTCCCAAAACCGAAGTCAAATCCTGACAAGTAAAGTGTCGTCTTTGGATTAAACTGTGTGGACGTCCTCACAGTCAGCTAAACCCCTCAAGGATCAACAAGCACACCTTTTTTTGCTTTTAACCTTACTGTGAAGTTATACTAGTTAGACAGTTTTATGCTGTTTTAGGTTGTGATTTCGGTTCTCATACCGGTTGTTGATACGCTAGCACATGCTAATAAATGCAATGTTATACTCGCGTAGTCCGTTTGCTTTGTAATAACGATTATAGAAGTGAATAAAGACCTACCCAGCTTTGCATGAACAGTGTTGCTCGTTGATATTGTTAGTGCCAGCCTCCGTCACGATTATGCGGTGGTAAATTTTTTGACACTGACCGGTAACTTATGCTTTTGCCTCTATTTGGATGCCTTGTTGTTCCTTGCGTTTCACCTGCATGTCTTGAATATAGACTTCGATTGCATATTGCAGCCCCTTTTGCCTACTTCTATCAGACACTTTATTTGCTGCTTTATAAAAGTTTGATAAAATTTCAGCAGGAAGAGTTGTCACAGCATAAGCCATGTTGCTACCAACCAGAGCCCAGATGAAGTTTGACGGACGTAGCAACAGTAACTAAGGGGGGCGGGGCTTAGCCAAAGGTGAATTGTTTTCTTTAGATGAATTTAACTGTAAGAAGATTAGGAAAACTAGAGACTATTTTATTACTACAAGTAGCATGTTAAGCCCCGTTTCCACAAAAATTACCCAGAACAATTTGTCCCAGCAACTTTTTTACCCCAGACCTGTTGCTTTCTATGTTTCCACCACGGTCTAATGTACTGTGAAGATTAGGCTAATTAGTCCAGGAATGTAGGACTGCATGCACCGCAACAGATTTTTAAAAATGCTGGTTGAAATGAAATGCTGCGTGGAGTCAACCAATCAAAATGTGGCATTTACTTAACCAATAAGCATGTTCAGTGCCCAAGTCCCACCCCCAAAGTTCCTGAACTTTGAAAAAGTACTACCTCGCAAGCAGGGTAGTTTCCCCAATTTCTGAGGGGAAAATGTTTACCCGCAACTTTATTTAGACTCTGGTTCCTGCGGTTGAAACACGCAGAGTACCACCCCAAAGTTCCTGCGGTGGAAACGCGGCTTTATATATTAAATATTATGTACTAGCGACGGCTCTGAACCCTTGTCTGACGCCCCTGTGAGTACACCATATAGACTCTTTTGGAGAAGCACTGATCTAAACCAGTGCTTCCCAAGGTCCTGGCCTTTTTCCACTCAACTTTCCACATAAACTTGCAAACTTTCAATAAGCACTTTCTCTCAGAGGAATCCCTGTTGCAATTTTGGATAGTCGTTCATGAGTCCCCTTGTTTGTCCTGAGAATTTAAACTTGTACAGAAAATGATCAAGGTCTTGCACATTCTTTGGTCTAAATAATAAACCAGTTCTGGGTCACTGATAAAGGGTTTGATAACTGCTAAATATTTTGGACGTATCCTAAAGAAAGAAAGTAGTTTACAGTATTGAGAAGAGGTTTTGAGATATCAGGTAGCACCTCTTTGGTAGCTTAGTACATATATGATCTAGCATAAGTGTTGTTGGTTTTGATTCTTTATGCTGGTTTGATTATTTAATGATTTTATGTTGGTTTTGATGTTTGTTGCTTTGTGCTTTTAAACTGGTCTTAACTATTATTTGTATTTTGTCTTTTTTCACTTTAGACCTGATGGCACTGAAAGAGGAGATGGTTATTTAATGATTTTATGTTGGTTTTGATGTCTGGTGCTTTGTGCCTTTATACTGGGGTTAACTTTTATCTGTCTTTGTCTTTTTTCACTTTAGACCTGATGGCACTGAAAGAGGAGAGTCAAGAATTGAATGAAGTGGAAGAAAAAAAACAGTATGAGGAACATCATGATTTCATAATTGAAGATAAGTCTCAGTGCTCACAGAATGAAAAGACGGCCTCGCAAAAAAGAGTTAGAAAGACAGGAACTAAAAGTGATTTCTCCTGCTTTCACTGTGGGAAAAGTTTCACTCAAAAAGGAAACCTTAATGTCCACATGAGAATTCACACCAGAGAGAAGCCTTTCACATGTCTTCAGTGCGGAAAGAGTTTCACACTTAAAGGAAACCTTAAAACCCACATGAGAAGCCACAGTGGAGAGAGCCCTTACACCTGCAAACTGTGTGGTAACAACTTTTCACGAAAAGAAAGTCTTAAGACTCACATGAGAAGTCACACTGGAGAGAAGCCATACACATGCCTTCAGTGTGGAAAGAGTTTTACACGTAAAGGAACCCTTAATACCCACATGAGAAGCCACACTGGAGAGAGCCCTTTCATCTGTAAACTGTGTGGAAGGAGCTTCACACGAAAAGAAAGTCTTAAGTCTCACATGAGAAGTCACACCAAAGAGAAGCCTTACACATGTGATCAGTGTGGAAAGAGTTTTACACGTAAAGGAACCCTTAATTCTCACATGAAAAGTCACACCGGAGAGAGCCCTAACACCTGCAAACTGAAGAGCAAGAGCTTCTCACATAAAGTAAGTCTTAAGGCTCCTGTCAGAATTTACACTGGAGAGAATCGGTTAATATGTGGCCAGTGTGGAAAGAGTTTCAGATGTAAAGAAACTCTTGATCAGCACATGAAGATTCACACAAGAGATTGTCGTTTTCAATGTCATCAGTGTGGAAGGAGTTTTACAAACAGGAATCACCTTAAGAATCATGTAATAACTCACACTGGAAAGAAGCCTTTCAAGTGCCATCACTGTGGAAAGAGTTTCACTCTTAAGGGAAACTTCAAGGTTCACATGAGAATTCACACTGGAGAGAAGCCTTACACATGTGATCAGTGTGGAAAAAATTTCAGACATAAAGTTACCTTTAATTACCACATGAGGATTCACTCAAGAGAGAACTCTTTTCTCTGTCATCAGTGCGGAAATAGTTTCACAAGCAGTACAGAACTTGAGAATCATGTAATAACTCACATTAGAGAGAAGACTTTCATGTGCCATCACTGTGGAAAGACTTGCATAAACAAAGCAAACCTTGATATTCACATAAGGGTTCACACAGGAGAGAAGCCTTTCATCTGCCTTCAATGTGGAAAGAGTTTCACACGTAAAGGAAACCTTGAAGTTCACACGAGAGTTCACACTGGAGAGAAGCCTTTTACGTGTCTTCAGTGCAAGAAGAGTTTCACATATCAAAGAGACCTGAATCGTCATTTGCAAACTCATTCTGGAAAGAAATTGCGGTGTTCCGAGTGTGGTAAGAGATTTCGTAAAAGGAGCAATTTCAAAAATCATCTGCGTATTCACTCTGGAGGAAGGAGATTTAATTGTGATCAGTGCAATAAAAAATTTATTTTGCCATCACACTTACAGATACACCTGAAAAGTCATGCATATGTGAGACCCTATTTGTGTTCCTTGTGTGGAAGGAGATTTAAATGGCTTGGAAGTTTAAAATGGCACCAGAAAACATGTATAGTACGAAATTAATTTCAATTTCAATATGCCCTCGCTTATTTATTTGATTCAGTTAAAGGGATACTTCACCGATTGGCATTAAGCTTTGTATCATTAGAAACCCAAAAACCGTCATTTAGCGTCATCGGAGGCTTTTTTGGCAAGAGGCTAGAGACTACAGCCAGCATTAGGAGATAGTGCCGCATGTTTTCAACCCGCCCATAGGGAGGGGGTGGGATCTCACTCACAGAATGTACAAATAGTTTAGTACCAGATGGCCCAGGCTGTTTGTCATCTGGGAAGGTGAATATCGATGGAAAAACAGCGTCTTTTCAGTTTCGAGTCAACTAGTAGCTTAGTTGGATCATTTTTTTTCCGATACTGCCTTTTGTAACCGGTAGGAGTGGCCTCGTAGGCCAGCGAAGCAAGTGCATTCTGGGAGTTGTTGTCTTTCATCCACATGAGCCAAAAAACATTTTCTGGCTTTTCTCAGTCTAGAAGGCACCAACTTTTAAAATAATTTCATATTTCTACTACATAAATAACCCAATTTAAATGCACATTCATCTTTCCAGCTGTGAAATATCCCTTTAAATATCTTGGAAACAAATATCCCTTTAAATACCTTGGAAACAAATATCAGAAATAAAGAGACAAACTGAATGAAACAAGATAATGAACTTTGCACTGCATTATCTGATTCAACTTTAAGTGAGTGAATCCACAGGTAAACATGTGACCCGATCTGGCGAAATGAGTCGGAAGTCGCAACGTTCTATTTTAAGATATGGGCCGATTATGTGGAAAAACAATGAAATAATAGATTTTTTTTTTTTTGTGCTAATTTCAAAGAACAGACATTCAAAAATAATCTCCCAAAGTTTCGTAGTCCAGATAATTGAGTAAAGGTATTTAAATTACTATTAAAGTGTACAAAGTTTGACTAAATTCGCTGGAAATGAACAATGCTTTTCTCAACTCCTCTCGTCACCTCTGAGCATTTCCCGGGTATCCCCTGAAACGTCACTATCTCTGCTCTTTAAATGGTGTTACACGTTGTATAGAACCAATCAAAAAGCTTAGAAATGTACACAAATGCTGATCATTTGTCGATGGGAAGCCGTTTCGACTGACCGGCACGCGATTGGTCCAGCCACCCTCCTGTCAGTCTCGCAGCGAGCGCTCTGTGTAATAAACAAGCTAGCAGATCTCCTCAGAAAGATTAAATATTATTAATTTGAGAAATGTCGATGTCAAAAGCGAGCAAAGTTGCCAAAGCCTCATCAAGCCCCCTGGCCATTGCACACTGAGTCCGCGTTTTTTCGTATTGATTCGGTGGCTCCGAATTGTCAAAACACCATTCAAACTGCTTGCTACAGATGCGAAAAACTTACGATTGTTTTTATATAACGGATGAAAGTTTCGTAGTGTGCACGCGTGATTGACATAACGTGAATGACAAATGTGAATGAGTGTAGCTATTTATCTGCAAGGAGAATCCATTACAATGTGTTTGATTAACCCAATATTTAACTGTTGGTATCTCCGTTATGAATTTGTTGCGCTGTTATTGTCAACTAGCCTACACTAAGATATGATTGCATAGACTAGCATTATTTGATCTCTGTTTCCTTGTCTCTCTGCCTCTCACTTTCTCTCTCTCACACACACACACACCCTCTCTCTCAAGCAAAAATGTAGCACCTCTGTTCAATCTTTCTGATTTTAGTACATTTTTGTAAAAGGTAGGCCTACTGTTAAATTATTTATTCAAATAAAAACTTTTAAAATAATTTGAGCTTCAGCCTGGTTTAATAGCATTTATATATTAATGTCTTTGGTCAAATTAAGCTGTAAAATAAATAGTTTATCCCTTTAAATGTAATGGAATTTGAAAGATATCAACAAAAAACGGGCAAAAAACTTTAAAAGCGATTTTCTCAGGTTTTCAATTAGAAAAAGAGGGCAGACGACCATAATTCAAATGTGTATATCTTTACAACCATTCAAGGTATGACTTTGACTAGGATATCAATTGAAAGCTTATGGTGTCCTCTTTCCATTAATACCAAAATCTCAATTTTTAAATTTGGGTCACTGTGACTCATTTTGCTGGATCAGGTCACATATTAGAGGGGTGGGGAAAAAAATCAATAATGCATAGTATTGCAATATTTTGTGAGGATATTGTGTCAATACACAGGTGCCAAGTATCGATCTTTTCAGTGCCTGAATTTCAGCTCGGGATTTGAAGTATTGTGCATCATTTTACCTTAAGCTATGCGCTAATTTCACACACAGCACAAATAAATCAGCACACTAGCATCTCTCTTTCTCCTGGACACACACAGTAATCTGTTTGTAAAGGAAGTGAATTTTCACATTCTGTGAAAATTATAGTGCAGCTACTGACAAATGAGAAACGGAATTATTAATTTAAGGTCAGAGTCGTTCCTTGTCACGTGACAGCCACATAGGCTTAGGCCAGGGGTAGGCAAGTTCGGTCCTAGAGAGCTGCTGTCCTACAGAGTTTAGCTCCAACCCTAATCAACCACACCTGAACAAGCTAATCAATGCCTTCAGGATTCCTAAAGCCTGGTTCACACGGCAGGATAATTAGGCCGATTTACCCCTTCCGACAATCTTAAGGATGCTCCGATTATCGTAAAATATTCTGATCAGATATTCCTGCCGTGTGTGGTGTGTTAAGACTGCTCTCGTCTGCTCGGAAGGACGTCGGGACCGCTCCGATCTCAAATCGGGGATATCCAACATGTTGGATTTTTTTGGCCCGATTTCTCCTCGTGTGTGGTGTCCCCCGGGGACAACCGAGCACGCAGCCTGTTGACTGTGGCGTTTAGCCAATCAGAAAGCGAGGTGACGAGGCGCAGAGGAAGCACCGGGAAACAAAATCAAAACAGCTGGCGGCTGTCTATGCTCGCGTTGTCTCCACTTCTTTGACCATCGCCTTTTCTTTTGATAACGTTTTTTTTTTCAGTTAAAACAAACTACAAACTATCGCCACTGCATCCTCTTCGTCCGCCATGATTATTTACTCTGAAGTCACGTTTGATCTCAAGGGATTTTGCGAGATTTTTCGTCTGACCTGGGAATGCTCGGGAGTCAAGTCGGTTCGTGTGTGATATGTTGATTTTGCCGTGTGGCTGCGCACCACACACTGTACGACCAAAACTGTTAAACCAGTGTTTTTTTTTAGCGCCGTGTGTGGGGTCTCTCAGGTTTGGAAAATCGGCCGACAATTTTAAAATTGTCCCGTGTGAACCAGGCTTAATGCTACGTTCACACCGGACGCGAATAGCGCGTCAGGCGCAAGTGATTTCAATGTTAAGTCAATGCAAAGACGCGTAAAAAATTCCTGCGGCGCGAATAAGGCGTAGGGCGCGGTAGACGCGAATACGCCTCATTCGCGCGTCAAGTTCGCGCGAATTGAGCGTCTGGCGCGTTACGCGCGAATGGTGCATTTTGTGCATTCACGCATTTGACGCGAATTTGCGTCTGCCGCCTGAGTTGAAAAATTTGAACTTCTGCGTCAAATCGCGCCGCGTTAACCAATCAGGAGCCTAGCTGCTTGCTGCTGTCACGTGGTGAAGTATCTGGATGCTTCAATAAATTATTTTGTAATTTGACGGTGGTTCTAATGTAGTTCTAATGCACAACAAAGCAAATATTTTATCACATAAAACTTGATTTCAATATAGGCCTATGAGACATTTTCATTTTGTATTGAATGCTATGTATTCCATATCTAGATTAGGCCTATATGAAATATTATTATAATGTAAAGACAACCAACATTCGTGTCTGGACAGTGATGTGTGTGAGAGAGAAAAAAATCACAGGACAGATTAATCACTTTTGGAGGCTGGCTCCATTTATCATCAAAACAAAAATAAATGACAGATTAGGTGGATGAGGGCGAGGGTGATCCTCGCTCCGATGCGGGACAACAGGTCATCAAGCTGGGCGCGGGACAGGCGGAAGTACCGCTGACAGCGGCCGTCATCCAGGCGCAGCTCCTGGAGCGAGCAAATGGTGAAACTCGCCACACTGGGTTCGCCTTTGAAGGGTCTGGTGGCCACAAATACGGCGACGATGACCCCTACGCCGCCGTTCTGCTCTCGTATTCAGAATATATGCTATTCAGAGCAAATACAGAGCGGTGACTCTCTCGATGAATGCTCGATCAACATAAAAAAAGATGGCCGCCAACGGGTTTCGATTCAGACGCGCGTAAATTTCGCTTCAAAGTTTTGTTTTTTACGCGCGTCAATTTCGCTCTTGACGCGTGAATGGATTCAAAGTGGTCAAGCGTATAACTAGACGCGGTAGGCGCGAATTTGACGCGCTATTCGTGTCCGGTGTGAACGTAGCATAAGGCTACAGAGAGGTGAGAGGTTTTTTTCAGGGTTGGAGCAGGATAGTGGCTCTCTAGGACCGAACTCGCCTACCCTCAGGCTTAGTCTCTGTAGGTGTCACGGTTAGCCAAGGATGATGAAGCAAGGATCTCAATTTCAGCAGTCTTTATTTAACTAAACATAACAACAATCAACAGGAGCTACAGGAGCTGGTATGGTCCTAAGCATACCAACCTTAAAGGTATACTCCCCCCAAAAATTAAAATTCTGTCATCATTTACTCACCCTCAAGTTGTTGCAAACCTGTATGAGTTTCTTTCTTCTGCTGAACACAAAGGAAGATATTTTGAAGAACGATTGGAACCTAACAGTTGTTTGGCACCATTGACTTCCATAGTAGAAAAAAAAAAATGACTATGCAAGTAAGTCAATGGTACCCCACAACTGTTTGATTCTAATCGTTCTTCAAAATATCTTCCTTTGTGTTCAGCAGAAGAAAGAAACTTATACTGGTTTGCAACAACTTGAGGGTGAATAAATGATGACAGAATTTAAATTTTTGGATGGAGTATACCTTTAACACAGGCGAGAGCTAACTCTGAACTGGAAACACAGACTTGAATAGACAGATGAAACAAGATAATTAACAGGACATAAGTAAAGAATCAAAAACTTTGGCAACAAATGATGAACGGGAATAAAGGAAATACAATATAAAGCCAGGGACACACTTAACGACTAGTTGAAAAATTCTAAGACTGAACTCATTTGCAGAGTGTTTCCAATGACTGGAGCAGATTTTAAACACCGACTGTGAACACCGACTAAACGCAACTGTCTCTGACTCTGATACTTACGACTGATCATGCCCAAAAGCGCAAATTACATTCATAATAATCGGCCTTACAGTCGGTAAGTGTGTCCCCGGCTTTAGTGTCCCAAACAGAACATGATCATTACAGCAGGAAACCGAAATGAGTTCACCACCTGC